AAACCGAGACAAAGGATACAAACCCAACACCACACCACAAAAAACCCCCCAGGGTTGGGGGAGGGTTGTTGATAGAAAAAATTTTATAGGGGGGGGGGGGGGGGGGGGGGGGGCGGTGAAATTAAATCTCTGTCCTTGACCCCCGCCGACCCGAGAGTTAGAGACTGCAGATTGTCAACTATTTTTTTCTCTTCCACAGATTTTGAGAATTTTTAATGGCATATGATTGTTTCGTCACCTGGTCACCCTGTTATATGCCACCTAAAAGATGAACAATGAACAAAAGCCAGCATCACCAGATACATCATTATCATCCACAACACAGCCATCCACAACCTCATTGGCAAACGCTTTTCGTGAGCGATCTGCAGAGCGCCTGGCCGCTGCGGCCAATAGTAAGATACCATCCATTATACTTCATACGCCCATTGTATCAATTGCGTCTGGCACCATGAGTAAAAGCACCACCACGACAACGTCTACAAAGACAACTCCGACCGCACACAGATCCGACGGCCTGTTCGAAGCCATGGCAAATAATTTGACAACACTGGACAGTGCGATAGTGCGACGTGATGATGGTAGTGTCGGGGTTCGTGGACCGAAAAAAACTGCAGCTGCAAATGCGAAATCCACATCAAAGTCAGTGGCAGATAGCGATAAGAGGAAGTCATACTCCCCCCCAAACAGTGTCAGCAACAGCAACAATAATAGCCATAACAATCCCAGTGTCAGTGGCAGTGAGGGAACCACCATACCGATATCATCGTTAACAGCGTCAGTGCCAGAGGTCCAGACCGTTACTTCCAGTAATAAAACGACTCAAGAAGAACCAGGTGCCGCCACCGTCACCGCCACCGCCGCCGCCGCCGGTGCCCCCCTGCCACAGGTCTACTCATTTCTTGACGAAACGCCAAAGCTGGAAGGACCCACACGCAGGTGCCTGCAGTATGGGGGTGGAGCGAAGGGTAAAACCCAGGATGATCAGAATGTGGGAAAGCGACAGAAAAATAAAAAGGTGAGTCTCCATCATCATCATAATTGTTTATTTGATTGTTTTGTTTTGGTATTGGTTTCGCAACTATTTCATCTAAAAATATGTATGTAATATTATCATGGGATATGGGATGATAATCATAGTCTATGCTAAGTTCATCAAATATACATAATAATTATAAGCTAAGTACTAAACATGGATGTTGTTGACTGACACTTATTTCTGATTATTTTCTACATACATTTATGTATTTAAATAGTATATTTTATTAATTACATACCACCCTTTTACGAACGCATCATTTTATTTCAAATTATCACTTTTAAAATGTGTTTTTCCAGCTGCATGCCAAAAAAAATTGAATAAATGAAACATGTGAATCACTTTAAAATTCTCTTAATAATTTCCAATGTTTTAGGGAAAAGATATCTCGATATAAATATATATGTAAATTAACTTAACTATTGAGGGATCACAACACAAATATTTATTAAGTATTAACCACACACAAACAAATCCACGCACATTTAATAATTGTTTATAATTATTTTGTTAATTCAAAAATTTGATTGTAACGCACACTATGTTCTTTTTTTTTGTTTGCTTCTATTTTGCTAGCTTTTTTTCTTATTTTAATTTTTAACTTTAATACCTTTAAGGAAGATAATCCAAGGGCAAGGCACACAAAACTAAATGGTAGAGGGAGAAACCCGTATCGCCTCACACACTGCCAATTGACACGCACGGCGATTGGCGAGCTGTGCCTTAAGCGAAATTGGAGAAATTAACCGTTACTGAATTGATCCGCAGCAAAGCGGAGATGAAGAATAAACGAAAAAATTAATTTCAATTGAAAAATTAGCATGCATGAATCGACTCGAGAATCGTTTTTATATTTGCCGAGTCGTTATATTGATCGCGGGCTTTTATTTGTTTACTTTTCCATAACTAGGCTGCGAACACAGCCTCCACAGGCATCCTGACAAGTCAACTAACTACATTTGTACCTTTATTTTGATCTTGGAATGTAAATGCAAACCTTTGTTTGTCATTGTCTATTAAAAAATAAAAGTTATCCAAGGGTATTATGCAAGAGGGAGATAGTATCATCCATGCACAGAGCTTTTTGTTTTTCATACACGCACACATAGAGAAGGGTGATCGATGGCTAGAGCGGAATTGGCACATTAACCGTTGTAATATTGATCAGCATGCAAAGCTGGAAAGATGAAACAGCAGAGATAACGAAATTCAATTATGAAAATATGCGGGATATGTTTTATGTTTTATTCGACCTTGTGAGCAATACAAAAATAAAACAAGCTAAGTTTGAACTAATTTTACACATTTTTACGTTGCTACGCAATCCTGCCCCTAATCGAACAAGAATCACCTCTGTTGCTGCAAATACGTATATTTACATATGCTTGGAGCTACATATGTAGGCATTTACACTCATAGTTACATACAATGCTTACCCATAAAGAATATGGCACAAAACGGAGGAGCGCAATTGAGAAATTAACCGTTAAAGCAGTGTTGCGTTGTGCTTCCCGCAAAGAAGGCGCACAATAAGGAAAGGAAAGAATTTTAGTTTGAGAAATTATTCCGTAGAGTGGCACTCGCAGTCGAAGTTTGTGTGTGGCTTTGGTTCAAATTTGTGAAGCGATAAAATATAAATTATAAACAACAACATTTTGTACATACATATATAATCAAACCACATCCGTGACTACACCGCAGCAATTATTATTTTCAATGAAACCCATACCATTTATTTGATTCGTGTATTCCCACCGTTTCGCATGTGTTTTTGTGTGTTTAAAATTAAAACAATCTGAATATTGCTTGGAAAAGTGCATTGAACAAGGTATACAAAGTGCTAGAGCCTGGCATGCGTTCGGATTGAAGGCCGCTTCTTAGTGAGGTTATACACGACGTTGGCGATCGTGTGTATGTGTGTGCGTGAGTGTTCAGGTTCACTTTCTTTTCCTAGCAATGTCGCGAAATGTTGAAAACCTTATATTTTAAAGACACTTGATTCATCTTGCAGACAAAATACGATGCCTGGGAGGATAGCGACTTCAATGATCTTGATGATGCGTCATTAAAGAAGCTTCTCGAGGAGGCCTATTGGTACCGTAATCCTGGCGACAGGAAAAACAAAAGCGAGCGCTTTCTGGTAAGTACTCGGACACATACACGCCCCTTTGGCACAGCTCTAATCTTGCTTCCAATCCCTTTTGCGCTTGTGCAGCAAATGCTCAAAAAGGCTGAGTACGACGAAGAGATCTCTTATCGTGCCATCAAAACCTGCCTCACACTCAACCCAATCACGCTAGCGACGTCAGCGTCCACATCCGGAGCAGCCGGCATTAGCATCAACAGCAACAGTAACAGCAACACCCACCACACAAACAATCGATCCGGGGAGCGTCACAAGCAGGGCGGCTCCTTGCAGGATCTTGTCGAGGCGGCTCATCGAAGTGGGGCGGCCACCACCTCTGCAGCGGCAGCAGCAGCAGCGGCGTCAGCCACATCGGCGACAACCCAACGTTTCAACTGTGATTACCAGCTGAGTGGACGCGCGAACCGTCGCCACCAGCAGCAGCACAACAACAATAACCAAAACGCACCCTCTGCCTCGAAGAAGATCAAGAACTGGTCAGTGTCGGGACGGCAGCGTGAGGGAGGAAGCCTTCCGAGCAGCGTCAACTTTGAGCCAGCCACCACGTCCATGGATGCCAAGCTGAAACAGACCATGGCCGATTCATCCCAATCACAGGCTGCCGCTGGCAAGAGGAGCACCGGCAGCGGCAGCTGCAGCAGCCTGCCCAGCCACCTGGGCGAAGCTGAGGCCGGTACCCAGTTCGATATGGACGAGGATGAGACGGGTGGTGGTGCAAGTGGAAGTGCTAGCGCTGCCCCTGGTCCTGGTCCAATCCAACAAGAATATCTGTTGGAGGTAAGCGATGAAACGATGAATCAGTGGGACGTCTGTATGGATCAATCGCTCTGGGAGATAGCTAAAGTGTGCCTAATCGAAACCGATGGGCGCCAGTTTGGTTCAAGTCAATTTGAGGCGGTAAGATGCGACGCGATAAGGCCGCCAGCCAGCCTTCAATGGCGGGGTTTGGCCAGTAAGCGAGCAGCATAATCCAATTAGTAAACCATAAACCTGTAGTAATCGCAATAATCAATATTCCTCCTCTGTATGTCGTCTCTTGCGGACAAAGTTTCTAAATGGAAATGTAGAATTAATCAAGTTATGTCTACCCCACACACACACACACACACACACACACACACACACACACACACACACACACACACAACACACGCATAAACACTAACACACACCACACACAACATTCATTCCATTCATATATAATTATGTCTCTCTATATGTATGCATTACGTATCTATGTCCTGTAGGGAGAGACGTTGGGGTGTGCGTATAGCGCGCCTTCCTTTCCCAGGCATTATTTATGAATATTCTACGCATTGTGATACGCAAACAAACACACATATACCATAGCTACATAAGAAATTAGTAGGAAGCATAATTTAGCAGAAACTCTACGTATAAGGAAGGATTCCGTAAGGATTCTGCCTACATCTACTGCTGGAACTATCACAAAACAACCACATTCACTTCACGGGGGGGTAGTCGAAAATAGCTTTGGGGGGTATACACATTTTCTCTCTCAATGTAGAGATTTGGGATTTTTGCAAATTCGCTCGTTTTATCGCTCGCTGTATAGTACAATTTTCAGCTCAAAGTTTTGGGCTTGCACTGAGCTGGCGTGCAGATCTACCTTATTGTCTTGCTTTAATTTAGAAATCTACTAAATAATCGTTTTAAACTCGTTTCCCTTAGCTGGAGGGCGATAATCGTGTCATTCAAAAGAAGAAACCAGTCGCCAATCAATCAGCCAATTCGTCAATGTCGCATCTCAGCACCAAAGCGCTCGATAATATCATGCAAAGCTATAGCCCGCAGCAACCTGATTCAAAGGATTCGGCCACTGGCAGCGAGTATCGAATTGGAGAGACGATGCCGTTTTTGGGACCCGTTGGCGTTCGGCCACCCGGCACGGCCCACATACATTTGCACCAACAGCACATACCGCTGCAGCAGCAAGATCCAGCTGGTATAAAATATGAGAGGGGTGCAGAGGATCGTACGCGCAAAGTGGATGCCGGCTATGTGTCGCTGAGCGACAGCTATACGGCCTGCTCATCGGTCTATGGCGATACATCAACGGCATCCCATGTCAGCAGCAGAGCCTCCACCTCGTCTGAGGTTTTTGGCAAGAAAGGCGGCCGCGCGGGTCCAGTTGCCATGGGTGCCAAGTCCACATCGGTGAGTGTCAAATAAAAAAACAAACAAAAACAAGTTTAAAAATCATTTTCACCTTTTTCTTTTGCTTATTTAAAGCGCAATCTTGATGAGAATGGGAATGCTCTGAGCGATGGCTATGGCACAAATGGCACGCCCAGCAGCAGCAGCAGTGGCAGCAGCAGCAGCGGGGGCAGCAGCTCCAATCAGTTTACGGCTTTGGTCACCACAACAATGGGTGCAAATGCACCAGCATCATCGTCGTCCACAAGTCGTCAGAGTAGCGTGTCCACGCTGCTTACAACTGGCAGCAATACAACCACCACGGCCATGGCGGCCGCTGCAGTGGCTGCCTCCTTCAATAGCCAGCTACAGCAGGTAAATGTAGGCAATGGATCGGGCGGAAATGGAGCAGCAAGTTGTGCCGCTACCGGAGCTGGTACCGTGAGTGTCGTCAGTGCCGGCACTGGGGCACAGCCGACCAAGCCCAAGTCAAAGAAGAGATCACAGCAGGAGCGCAACTCGACCACGGTCGTTGCCCAGTCGGTGGCCGGTTACCGTGGCCAGGAGTCGGTGGAGCAGCTGGTCAAGTACATTGAGAACGATGGCAACAGTGGCGGCCAGAGGAAGAAGGAGCGCAAGAAGCAAAGCCAAAAGCTGAAGAAGAGCAACTCGCTGGAGGAGCTGCGCAGCTGTTCGAAAATGGAGGCGGACGACCTCAAGCGTGAGTCGGCCACCACCGAGATGATGCCACAGAAGAAGGACTCAAACAGTGGCAATGCCAGTGGCAGTGGCAAGCACAACTCTGCCTCCGTGGCGGACATCAGCAAGAATTTCAGCAAGGAGCAGCAGCAGGCCACAGCTGTCCAGGTGCAAGTGCGTGGACCAGCCGCCGGCCAGCAGCGGAAGGGCGAGCGCCGCTCCTGGGGCACCGAGGAGCTGCAGTATCTGGGCGATCAGGACTACCGCAAGCCCGGCCTGGGCAAGGCTGCGGCACGCTCGGAGCCCGACATTGAAGCCGAATCGATGCCGCTCTCTCTGCCGGCCCTCTCCTGCATGTCGGAAATGGATGCCCTGAACACCGTCCTCTCCGAGACAGCCGAATTCCATGTGGTTACCAAGAAGAAGAAACCAAAGAAGCAGCGAGCCGTCACCATGGACGATGCAGCCGTTGCGGCCGCTGCCCACGCGGGCGGCAATCTCCAGCGCATGCAGCAGATCACAAAATCAGCCTCCTCCAATATGATGTCCCAGCGGACGCACTACTACACGGCGTACACCAATAGCGGTGCCAGCAGCAACACCGCTTCCGGTTCCAATCATCATGGCCAGTATCCCAGCAAGTTGGCGCAGCAGCAGCAGCCGCAGTATCAGGAGGCACAGCCGCAGCATCACCATCACCATCACCATCATTACCATCATCATCATCATCATGGTGGATCCGGGTCGCCCACGAAGGATAGCTCGAGACGCAAGTCAACATCCTCGATGCCGCCCTCGGAGAAATCCGATTCCAGTGATCTCGATTCGGTCCACTCGCTGCCCATACAGACGGTGAAAAAGAAGAGTGGCAGTGGCAGTACTGGCGGCACCACCAGCAACAAGGAGCGGGCAGCGCAGGCCGCCACCCAACGTCAGGTGAAGAAAAAGACACTGGCACCAGCTCCCATTTCCTATGCGGACATAGCACGCAACAAGCGGGAGGCCCTAAAGAATGCCAGCAACAATGGCGGCAGCGCAAATGTCAGCGATCCAGAGCCATCCGAATCAGCTGCTGATAAGCCACCCAGCGGCGGCGGCGGCGGCAAGGGTAGCAAATCCAAGATTAAACCCGATTTCCCAGAGCTGCCAGTGGCACTATCCATACCGGTGGCCATCAGCAGCAGCAGCAGCAGCGGGAGCACGGTCACCAATCAGGTGGCCAGTTCCAGCAACAACTCATCGTCGGCTGGATCGATTAGCTACTCGAAGAGTCTAAATGCGACGCCTGCCAGCAGCACCAGCGATGTCGATGTCTCGCCAGAGTTGACACCCACATGCACGACCGCACCCAGCAGCAGCCTGTCCTCGTCCCAGCCATCGCTGCAAAAGTCAAAGAGTGTGGAGCACGATGCCAGCTATAGCTTCAATAGCAGCAATCTCGATCAGCAGTATCCAGCGCTGGAGAAGACTGTGAAGAGGCATAGCACAACAAATGTTTCCCTGACAGCCGCCGCCTGTCCAGCCTCGGGCTCCGGTTCGGGTTCAGGCTGCCCGGCTGCGGGCACGGCTGCGTCGACGATTTTCAACTTTGCTGCCGCAACCAAGCTACAAATGGTGGACAAGTCGACGGGAACCACATCATTACCAACTACCTCTGCCAAGTCCAAGACCAAGTCAAAGGACTTGTCATACAGCAGCGCCAGCAGCAGCAGCAGCAGCTCCGGCAGCAGCAGCAGCAAAAAGTCCATGAAGCTTGGTCAGGATGAGGCGGCGTCCGTGGCCGTGCTTGTGCTTGTGCCAGCGCCAGTTGCCCAGAAGTCTACGACGGCCACACAGACCGAGGGAAGCAAGAAGATGGGACACAAGATGTCACACATTAGCAGCAAGCTGGCACCAGAGCTCATTGCTGGTCGACCGGCAGTGATAATACTCAACGATGATCGCGACTCGGCCGAGGAGGGACTCAATAATGAGTTCATCTTTGGGGACTTCAACGAGGATGAACTGAAGCTATTTGATGACAAAAAAGATGAAAAGGAAAGGGGAAACGATAAGGACAAGGAGCAGAGCGAAAAGAAGGTGCAAGCAGAGTCACAGTCAAAGCTGCAGTCAGAGCCAAAGCCAAAGGTAAAGCCACAGGCAGAGGCACAGCCACAGTCAAAGGCACAGGAAAAGCCACAGCCACAGTCAAAGCCAGAGCCAATTGATATGGAGCAGGAGGAGGATGAAGCAACACCAGAACTCGAACAAATTGTTGAGGAGAAAGCGGCAAAGAAGGAGGAAGAGAACCCAACGGGCACACAGTCGGATACGAGCTCCAGCAGCTATCAGCAGCTGATAATGAATGACTCGGGCGCTGCCTCTGATGTGGTCAACAGCTCGGTCAGTTTGGATATGCTATCGATCTCAGGCGAGGCCGTCCAGTCGTCGTCGCCGCACTCTGCGGCCATTTCTACAAACTCGGGCTCATCCAGCATCATTAATTCGTCGACATCCTCAACGCCTTCATCCGATTCGGCACCCAATTCCAATTCGTCGTCATCCGTTTCGATATCCTCGTCAGCGGGCGGCAACGGACCGACGGGGCATGGCTTGTGCTCGAGACAGCGTTCGGGTGCGGCCTATGTTGCGAATCAGTCCAGCGATAGTGGCATCTATGGTGCCGCCAATACGTCCGTGAAGGATCACATCAATCAGTTCCTTAGTCGTGCGAGCAGCAGCAGTGAGGAGCCGCTGCCGAATGCTCCCATTTCCATGCAACAGTTGGAAACCTGCAATGACATTGAAGCGGCAATTATAGCAGCTGCTCGAGCCGCTGCCGCGGCACGCAGCAATAGTTGCAGTCGCAGAAATTCCCAGGAACTGGAGCCGTCCAAGTCCCACAATCAGCAGCAACAGCAGCATCAGAGTCCAGTTGCCAAAACAAAAGCTGCGCCCGTCTATACAACTTACAACGTGGGCTCAGAGGACTACGACGAGGATTTGGAGGAGCTGAGCTTCCTGGCCGACCTCCGAGATGCAGAGGTGCACGTGGAAGAAGAGGCGGAGGTGAAATCAGAGACCGAGGCCGAATCTGTTGCGGCGTCACCAACCCAAATAGATCCAATTGTAGAATATATTTCAAGCAGTGAGTAATCCCAGAAACGGGTACAAACTTCTTTATTTTCATCATCAAATAATGTTTTACTCCGCAGCGTGGCATGCCATTTCTACCAGCAAACATGTAATGTTTTATCGCGAGCCCGAACAGGAGATCTAGGATGAAGCGACAATTCCGCAGCAGGAGAGCAGAACTACAGAAATGAATTGAACGTGGATTAGTTTGTATTATTGCATGTCTGTCAAAGGTTGCAGTTTATGTTTGCCACGGGCCATCATCAATTGTACACAGATATACGGATATATTACGGATATGCTATAACCAAACGCTTTTTGTGCTAACTATTGTAACAAACTATTGATTAACTATCGATTAGAATATAAAAACCGCGCGCGGCAGCAACTAAAAGCCACCACCAAGAGTGTCAAATAAACCCAAGAAAAACAATGAACAAAAAAGTCATTCGAATGGAAAACCAGAACTATTAAGACAGCTCCACAATGAGGAGATAATCCAGGAGTTAGTTGATTGGAAAATAAATACCGGCGATGACAAAGAAACAGAATTAGAGAAACTTTTAATTGATTCTGATCAGAGCAGAAAGCAGACCACAAGTGGGAAGACAAAACGAGAACAAAGTTGATTTTGTTGAACAAAAAAAAAGAAGTAAAATGAAGAAAAAACAAACTCTCAATCCGTTTGTACCGCTGTGAATAGAACAAAAACAAGAAAATAAATGAATTCCTCCATGGGAAATCTTTGAGGCCGATTTGGTGACGTAAAATATATCTATGAATATTTATTAAACATTTAGTTTGGTAACGGTGATGCGAAGCGATGTTCAGTCAGCATTTGGAAGTGCTTTTTTTTTTGTTAATTTGAACAAACAATATGCTGGCTCCTTAAAACGCAACGTTTTACTATAACTATTACACTTACAAACTCTAATTTTAACTATTATTATTATTATTATTACCATCTATCTATTTTATTCTCTATTTTTTTCTTTGTTGCTCTGCTTGAAGTGCGCGCGCGAGCCTGTTGCTTAAACGAGTATATTTTATCATTACTTCGAGTAAGATTGAGCAAACTAGTTCTAGACAGAGTCAAAGCGCAAGTGAGAGCAGTGAGGGGGAAGTAGAGGAACCGATTGTACATAGGATACACAATAAAAAACCACAGCAGAAAACAAAAAGAAAAACCAACTAAGAACATGAATAATTTTAGCGTTTAATTGTTGAAAAGAAAATCGAAAAAAGAAAAGAAAACTAAAAATTAATAATGAATATCTAGTGTTAAGATCTAGCCGGCTAGCCATAAAGAAGCCGCATGAAGGGGGGAAAATGTATGTTAAAACCACAAAAAAACAACACACACAGACACAGAGAAGAACAAAAAGCATAAAAACTATCGAGCACCTACGAAAAATGCCGCCGTTTAGCAGCGAGAGAGTGCCTAAGCAGGCCTTTCCGAGAGTAAAATTAAACAGCAAATAGAACCAGTAAACCGGAAACCGGATGATAACCGGCTCAAAAACCACAAAAGAATAAAAGAAAACCATAAAATAAAATTGATATAAAACTTAGCATTAAAATTGCACCTACATAGGCATATGCATTATACACACACACACACACACACACACACACACACACACACACACACACACACACACATACGCATACAAAAACATGATACATAGAAATACGAAGTTTTTTTTTTTAGGAATGCCAGGCGTTAACCATTTAAACTCGATTAAGATATTTAAGAAAAATATATATCTACCTTTAAATAAAACCAAAAAATGTGTCTAAAGCAACAAACAAAAAAAAAAACAACTAAAAATTCAAAATTATCAAAAAAAAACAAAAAAAAAAGTCGCGAAACTAATTAAAGTTTAATCCCGAGAAAACTAAACTCACACACAGACATTTGAAGGGCGAATAAATAAGTTAAAGAGTAGAAATGTTATAACTTTGGGCTGTATTACGGAAAAGAGAGAGATGAAGAGAGCGAGGGAGAGAGACAGACAATGCTTACTGTCTCTCTCACTCTGGATACCTTCTCCCATCATCGATCTAGACAAAAACCAAACAAAAAACAGAAATGAAACGTTTAGAAATGAAAATTTAATTTTTATCAAGTTGCAGGGAGGATTACTAAGTATATATATATATTAAAGAACATGAATAAGTAATTCCACACATAAGGAAAATTCTAAAAACAAACAAAAACATAAATGATATGCAACCACTAAGTCAAACTAAGCCAATGTACACTGCATCAATTTTTAGAAAAAAATGATAACTATTTAGCGACAAGAAAGAGAGTTAGAGAGAGGGCAAGAGAACACACAACAACAAAAAAACCAGAAAAAACACTTACAAAATAAATCAAAATATTGAAACAACAAAAAAAGAAACAATAAAATTAAATGAAAGGTAACTAAAACAAACTCTGAAATATATAAATTACGTTATATTTATATAAAACAAAAATATTCATGAACATAACAAAAAGGTCAGCGAAAGATTTGCTGCAGTTCCACACCAAGAAATCCCACATAGAACACTATCGGTAATACAAAGGATATTGGATTCTAGAGAACAGATCTTGAACAGCTAATGTGGAACTGCAGCAAATCGTGGTGGGGCTCTAATGCATATATAAATTATAAAAAAAAAAAAAAACAAATGCAAATCAACGTTTCTTATGTGTGTATTTATGTAACATATATTTATATGTATATCTATATATTGTAGTTCGCGTGTATGTGTATATAATATAGTAAACAAAATGTTAGCTCTCCACCATCTAACATCCAAGAAAGAAAAGAAAAGAAAAAAAACAGGGAGAGGAGAGTCCCCTTGGCAACGATTCGCCTCTCAGTGCCCTCACCCTTAATCCCATCAAAAAACAAAAAAAAAAAACATAAAGCCGATGGCGCTTTGTAATTATTTATTTTCTACATAAACATATACATATATGAGACCTCAAATTCGCGTAGAATTTGGCGCTACGCAAGAGCTTTTTGGAGTCCAAACAGAACAGAACTTAAATTTCACTTCATTTGGCTTTTTTAATGGAGCGTAGTTAGCATATTTAACCAGTTGACAGACACTCTGTAGCGATACGTACAGCCTTTATAGTAGCGTTTAATGGTCCGTCCTATGACTTGATGTGTAGTTATCTTACGCAGGATTAATCTACATATCCACAACATTCTGTTTTATATTTTAAAATTTATTACCCAAAGAAATTGTTTTTATACACCCAGTAAAGTTTTCGATGCTAAGTTTTAGTTAACAATTTACCATTTTTTTGTAAATACAAATTGTCAGTTATATGTTTTTTTTTTTAATATTTTAATGTGTCTTTAATTTGTTAATCTTTTATTTTACATAAAACCCACTTTTAATATGAATATTTGTATAAATTTCGAAAAATCTCTGTATATACTGAGGAGCATGTATTTATTTATATATTTTGCGTAAGATAACTTAATGTCTAGTGGTAGAAGACGAAGATCCCTAACTAGCTGTAAAGGCCCTTGTTTTGGGTCGTCGGTCGGTTGTCAGTTGGTGTCTTTGTAGAGTTCGAAATGCATAATTTGCGTATTGTTTGCACTTGTTGATTTGCCGATAAGCAGCAGTAACAATAATAATTAAATGGAGAGCAAAATAAATGGAAAACTATAACCATAAACATATGACTAAGTCTATTGAATAGCTAAACAAAGAATTCTATAAAAAAAACCTAGTTGATAGTTGGTAGTAATCCCCCCATACGAATAGATGGATCGTGTGTATCTCTCTCTCAGCCCCCTTAGAAAGATGATGCCACGTCGATGATAATGACACAAAAATGCCCCTACAATTGGGGAGGGGCTGTGGCATTGAAACTAACTCTAAATTTATACAAACGTATACATACTTCTATATATACACACAAAGAAAACATATGTACTCAACAACTTCTACTGATGAAAGTCGCGACTAAAAATAAAAACTTCAAGTACTAATTCCCAGGCATGAATTCCCCGACCCCATCCCACACCCAAACAAACCCAAAAACCCAACCAACTATTCTTAACTTATACATACCAATATTTGTACATGCAAAGCTAAAAAAAACGAGAAAAACGAAGAGTCAAAGAGGAAAAAGAAACAAAAATGGAAAATGGAAAAGCGAAAGGTGTTTAGAATTTAATGAAATTAAAGTCAGGCGGAAGACGCGCCGATTACCGTCCGATTGTCGATTGAGCAGCGGCATGGTCGGGCGATAAGCTAATCGCAAAACTATCGCTGTGACCAATCGAACAGGGGACGGCAGTCGTTGGCCTGTCCACAGACCCCACACCCCCCAGGGGCCTAACTAAAACCAGAAAGAAACTGAAAACTAATTTATCTGAATGAGAAAATACAAATCTAATTTAATATGTGTTTAAAATATAATTAGCTGGAGTGAAGAATCGAAATAAAAATGCAACAAACAAATCAAACAAGTGTTTTTCATAATTATTTCATTTTATTTAATGGAACAAAACTTGGAGCGTACAATTTTTCGTATCGAAAATGCATTATTATGTGCACCTTGAATTGTGGAAACCAATTTCTACCTCTGTCCCCGGGGTCGTCATGCAAAAACCCTGCCATAGAATAGCTAGGAACCAAAACCTAACGCAGCATCTGGGTATAGACCCAGACCCTGACCTAACAGCTGAGCGTCCACATTTACTGGGCACAGAGATTGGGTTTTAAGCTGTAGATTTATTGGGCGTAAGTACACGGGTCTAGAGACAGCTTCCTGTGGCAAACGGGGGGCTAGGCGCGTGGGAAGCTCGATTGGGTCCCTGGCAGCTGGACAGACTGCGAGGCCACCACACAGGCGGCCGCGATGTGTGCGTTGAGCGATCGTTTGGGGAAGTGGGCCAGGTTGTGGGCCAAAGCACCGATGAAAGCGTCTCCCGCGCCCGTAGTGTCCACCACATTGCTGACCTGAGGAGCGGCGACATGCTGAAACTTGCCGGGCGCCTCCTTGCCACCCCACACAGCGCCCAGTGGTCCCAGTGTGAGAATAACCGTGTTGGCACCCATCTCAATGAGCCGCTTGCAGGCTTTGCTGGCTTCACTGTAAGGCAGAAGCTGTTAGTGGCAGAACACAGAAGGATGAGGGTCAGTGCTTACTTTATGCTGCTCACGCTGCCCACGCCCGTCATTATGGCCGCCTCGCTCTCATTAACGCAGAAGATGCTGGAAAGCTGCAACAGCTCTGGCGGCGTTTGCTCCATGGCCGGAGCGGCATTCACAATGGACACTCCCTTGAAGCAGCGCAGCGCCTGCAGTGTGGCTGCAATGGGCGTCTCCAGCTGGCACACGAGTACCTTGGCCTCGGAGAACAGCTCCTTGGCGAGGAAGACGTCATTGGCGTCCAGCTCGTTGTTGGCACCCACAACAATGATGATGTTGTTCTCGCCACCGTCGGAGACTGCGATCTGGGCAATGCCCGTGCTCTGGCCCTCCACCTGATGCACGTGGCTCACATTGACGTTCTCCTCCCGCAGCTGGCGCAGATAGTCGCTGCCAAAGGTATCGCCGCCTAGTTTGGCCACCATGGCCGTCCTGGAGCCCTGCCTGGCGGCTGCCACACACTGATTGGCACCCTTGCCGCCGTAGCCCGTCTGGAATTTGTGTCCGTGAAGCGTTTCCCCAGCCTTGGGAAGGCGAGGCGTGTAGCTGCCCAGAATAATAATGAAGATGCCGATCAGCGGGGAGACCAGCAATGGCCATGAATCTCTTACCAGATGAAATCTATGATGGCCGAACCGAATACCAGAACATCAAGTTCCTCGCTCATTTTGCAGCTGTTTTCCGTTCCCGTGTGCTTTACTTCCAGTGTTTCTAAAATTGTTTTTTTTTTTTTTGCTTTTTGCAAACTGCAGTCAAAGTGCTCGGAGCTGATTTATAACTGAACGACTGAATTTACGATCCCAGTGTACTATGATTATCTGGGATCTTATCAGCAACTTGGCCAATTCCATTCACTGCCTCCGTGACGGAGAGTGGCGGGTGAGAGTACTCAGGAAAGGCAGATAAATTCATTTCAACAATTAGCAAGGCCACTTGTCCCACGCTCTTTATTTGTTTTTCTTTTGGTGGGCAAGAGAACGACAAAGATACTGGAAATACCAAAAGTGGTATTTTTGCGATCACTTTTTCGCACCAAATGTGGCGCAAAATTCGCCAAATAGTATGTTTTTCTGCTAAAATTCATGATTTCGTAGATAATCTTTAAGCTCTCTAAACTAAACTAAGCTTGGCATACCAAAACATTCTGGCTTAAGTGCAATAAAACGCACTAGCGCGTTGGGGCATAACCTTGCTGCTGTCGGTTGCCTTACATTTATTTTGCAGCTAAAGTTATCAATGAAAATGCTAACGTTGGTCAATAAACAAACAACTGTAGGCACATCCATAAACCAATCTGTACAGAAAGCAATTGGCATGTGTATTCCATGGTGTATTCTCGGGCTTTGAGATAAATCATAAACTTTTATTAAATATACATACATACGGGGTAGTGCAGATAAACAAAACTGTTGGCAGGAAAGGCGACCCAGACGTAACCTAGGGGACAGGAGGAGGGAATACAGGCAATTTCATTTCGATTGGGTTCTCTTTTTTTGGTATGGTATGGTATTTGCTTGAGCGTAAGCTTGAGTTGAACTGCGGACACTCATAACACATGGTTCGTTCCGTATCTAAAATTACAGTTATAAAATATATAAAGCCATACATTCTGATTGGGCCCTACCGATTTACAAGTATATGTGTGTATGTGTGTGTGTCTATCTGTATAAAATCTACAACTAGATATTATACCGTTTTTGTGGCGAGCGAAGGGTATTCGGCTCTGATTTTGATCTCCAATGTTTTTTGTGAGGGGTTGCCTTGCTTAGATCCTAGATATTGCGACTTGTGGAACCCCTCCAGTTAGTTTGGAGCAAGGTTGCGAGATAACATTTAGTACAGTACATTCTGGAGATGGGTTGATTGATTGGCGGCGTTTCATCATCGTTGTTGTAAGCATCATCATCATCATCATCATCATCATTATCATCATTATTAGGGCTGCTAAATACCGGCACGCTCCAGGGCGCTCAGTTGTGTGCCCAGTCGCTCCTCCTTGGCCTTGCGCTCAGAACTGATCTTCTTCGAGCTCTGATAGGTATTGAGGAAGGTCTGCACATCGATCTTTCCATTGAGAAAGTGCTCCACATGACGATCGCAATCGGCATCGGCATTCGAGGCAGCAATTTGGAGTAATTCCTGTGTGGAATAAGACGGAAGGCACGTCCGTAATGGCCTGGGAAAACACTACACGAAAAGATCTCACTCACGCGTATGTGCTGGGGGGCATATTCCTCCGATTTCTTCAAGTACTTCTTATTCAGTTGGTCGCACTTCTCGCCCAGCGTTTTCAGGGCAGTGTAGTCATCGCTGAGGCGACGTTTTAGCTCCACCAGATGGCTGCCCTTGCTCTCATTTTCACCTGTGTGGTCATAAATGATTTGTGTGTTGCGCGTTTGAATGGATTAAGTTCATTGCATACGTGATATATTCTCCACTTGGTTCATCATCGAGTCCAGCTCCTCGTTTAGATGTTGCACCACAGACATCTCCTCGATGAAATCGTCGAAGAACTCCGGATCCCTGTCCAGCTGCTTCAGCTCGTCCAGCGACAGTGTGGACAGGTTAGGCATGTTGGCTGCCTCCTCCTCTGGCACCAGTCCGCCACCGCCAGCAATGCGCCTGTTGTCCTGCGGCGACGCCGCCTGCTTCGACGAATTGCGTGTGGTCGGCATCCCGACGTGGCCGGTTACTCCTAGCTCTTGTAGTGGACAAGATTCCAATCGGTTGCTAGCATTTGATCTCCACTCGCTGGCCTTCTTTGAATTAGTTGTTGGTCGGTTTTAAGGCCTAAATAAATTACGTTGTAAGAAATTAAATTCTTGGCGGTTTTGCCTTCCACTCACCAAATGGCGTTTGTGTCCCCTGTGCTTGGGCTACGGGTGTGTGCTTGGTTTGTGGGAAATTGTTTTAGTTTCTCGAACCCAAATCGTATAAATCGAGTGTTTGCTTTGTTTGTTCGGGTCCGAATAACATTATCTTTTATAACAAAAACAACATTCGCCTGCTCATGAAGCGCCGTTGACACGGCTGACAGTTGAGGGTTGCCACCTGGTCGACAGGAGCCAGCTTGGAATTGGTGCTATTAATTAACAGTTGCTATCACAGCATTAAAGAGCCGAATTTTCATCCATGGAATCTCTTCAATTGAGAGCCGTCAGGTGCAGCGAGCTGCATCATAAAGGCTAGATGTGTGCTTTTGTGCGTTGACCTGCATACCCTGCTCGCATCGAACAGCTGTTCGGGCACCATTTGTTTACGATTTGTGCAACGGCGGCACCGCAACGCGCTTTTATATAACATAACTGTTGTGTCCAATAAATACAAAAATATGGCACTTTTTGAGATGAAATGGCTTCGCCGCTTGGTAAGGCGCAACACAAACCCCATACCGGAGCACCGTGCGGAAATGTGGAAGCGCCGCCTCAGCATTGGCTATGCGATTTTGGCCTGGAACGCCTTCGGCCTGGTCTGCTACATGGTCTACACAGGACGCAACGACTGGGCAAAGTACCATGGTATCAAGACGGAGGAGGAAATGGCCTTGTCGCCGGCCCAACAGTTAGCCAGGCACATTAAAGTGGAGGGAACTGGCAAAATCATACGCTACTCGGGCTTCAGGAAGGTGGAGGAAATACCATTCGACTCCAGCACTGTAAATAAAGTTAAGGAGTAAAGCAGACATTTATTCATCTAAACTATAATTAGTTAACATCTTTTTTTTTGTTCTAACAAATGATGGTTGCAATTTGCAATCTAAGAAATTAAAAAAAAAGGAAAAGTTTTGTGGTATTCTCTGTTGGTATTTATACAGAGGTGGAGCCGCTAGATGGTTGGAATCAATAAAAACCAGCTAGATTCGGAGAAAACTAAAAATGGCCAAAAATACATACAGCCGTTTGTTTTTTGAGAGCAGCAAATACAAAATGAATGGCAACATAATCTTAAAGCTTAAACAAGCTGAATGCATTTGGAAACATGCTATATGTATGTGCTTCATCATGAAAATATAGCCTTCAATTAGTAATATGCCATCACTGGTTAATAGGTATTTTTTTCCTGTTCGTTCGCGAACCAGCCAAGTAGGTGGCGCGACAGGGTGACCATTCACGGTACACTATATGTTTTTAGCGTGGACCTTATTTTGTTGACAATCATATTTAAGAAACTCATGAAGACTAACCAATCGTGTGGAGAATTGATTCATCAATCGCACAAAATTATAGTTTTAGTGCTGAGAGGGCTAGCTAACTGGTAATAATAAATAGAATATCAAAAACGAGGAAAATGATTTAGGATGCGGTATATTTAAGGTATATTTTGAAAATAAGAAAACATAGTGCGGTTTATTTTTAAGGGTCATGCGGTATATTTGATCGACAAATCCGCGGTCATACTGGAGCGCGACGCGACGCGGACGGATCAAAAAATAACAACAATAAACGTAATATTAGCAACATTGATAATGCCCCGGGAGCCTTCGGCTTGTGAAGAAGTGATTGCATTGCGGCTGACAATCTGACAATCTCTTGAGACTGTGCATTCGTGCGTGCGGTTGGAGCTAATTCAGCTCTATCTAAAAATAAAACAACAAATCAGCAGCAGCAGCAGTGCAACAGCAACAACAGTCCCGTCGCGGCAGCATCCAACACACAGCACACATACAAATGTACAACTTCAAACGTATTTTTAATTGTAACAAAAAAATAAATGAATATTAATTGATTATCAGGCTAGCAGTGCACTCTCGTCGGAGGTCATCAGCAATGACTGCGACTGCACTGCTGCTCCGATTGTCTCTGTGTCTGTGAAATAACGGGACAAGCAGCAGCAGCGGCAGAGGCGGCGACTGCATTAGAAAAGCAACAGCAAATGGCAATTGCAGACAGCGGTTCCACTGCTTTCCTCTCTCACCCCCTCTAATTGGAATATGTGGAAATATAAAAGAAATGTTAAAAGCCGCAAATAATTGCTAATTAGTTGCATTTCTTCATCATTGTTGTTAGAGGTGCCGCCGCCGCTGCAGCCACTGCTACAAGGCTTCGCTAACGAATTTCTAATATAATTAACGCCGACAGAGAAGCCTGCTTCTGCTGCCGCTGCCGCTGCCACTGCTGCTTATGTTGCAGCTGTTCTGTTTATTAAGGAATCGTTTGAAATGTGTGTGCGTGTGTTACCGTTGCATCGAAATGCATATGTGCCTATGATCGAATCTCCCATATAGAAATACAAACATACATACATACAAATGTATAAAGTGTTCTCTCCCTCCTGTTTCAGTCATTTCGCAGTGGCCGAGCAGCGGTTTAAGTTGAACCAAGCCACCCCCTCCATCTACAACCGACCCCCAAAAGTCAAAGGTGCAAGTGCTTCTCTCACACACATAAAAACGCACACGGATAAAGTGGCTTAGCAGAGACAGCAACCAAAAGCTGTTGAGAAAATACCGTTTGATTGATTATTGCGCTGCTGTACTTCTCTTCTCTCATCCTCCACCTCCTCCATCAGAGCGACTGCAGCAGCACATATCCCGGAGGTGGCGACGGGTGAGTAGCAAAACTACGAAAATAGACTAAGAAAAAATGATGTTCCAGTTTGTATTTGTTGTTGCTGTCTGTTCGACAAGAAAACGATTAAAAGCGCATTAATTTTATCATTTTTGAAAGTGAAACTTCCACTTTCTGCCGCTTCTAAGTCTGAAAGTAACATCCGTAGCAAAACGTAAACCATCAAACATCAAAGAAAAAACCTAAAATTCCACAACAAGAAGAAAACGCGCATAAATATTTATTTACAAAAAAGAAACACAACTTTTAGAAATGGTCGTCGGCATGTCAACACACAACAATAGCTAAAACTCCCAACAATAGCCGAGAAAAAAAGTTAATTTATATTTCGACGAGCGAAAATGAAACCGTTTTCTAAAAATAATTTATTGTTATACACTAGAGAAGCGAAAGGAAACGGATTTCGGGCCAGTTTCTATGCATCAAAAAACCAAAGTCAAAGCTCTTGCGCTAGCATTAAGGAAATTATACAATAAACCAGAAAGAAAGACTAGATTAGGGTTCCGAAGCTTTGAATACCCTCGCAGACCTATCGTTCCCATGGTTCTATAGAAAAACTTTCCCAAAACGTTGAGAAATGTGGAAATTTTCATCAAATTAAAGTTTCTTTTCTCGTACAACAGTTTATACGGCAGCCATATGCTATAGGGATCGAATTTTGCTTCTCTCCTGTTGATCCTGACACAGAATAAGAATACGGAAGCACTGTCTGGCCGCCAAACATTTGTTCAAAGCCGCAACATACTTCTTTCAAGGGTATAACAAGAGCCGGCCAGCCTATGGCGGTCGTGGTGGGGCGGTGAACAATGCGAGATGGAACATAAGCATACGCACTGCTTGAACGAGGGAGAGCTACGCGGCGCATAATTCGAGCGGTAAAACGGTTCGCGTCAGCTGCGGCGCAGGCGTCGACCGCTGCGACAGCACTCCGGTGCGCTACAGTTTTTCTCTCATTCGGCATTGCATTAACAGGTGCCCTCTCTTTCTCTCTCTCCATCTTTATCTCTTTTGCCATCTCTCCATGTTAAGCGACAACGTTTTATATGCCATTCCAAGGTTAATAGAGCATTTAGCTCTTCGTATTGCTAAACATACCTTCATGTCCGTGCATATCAGAACTTATTTGTTTTTGTTTTCTCAACAGGAGCACACATTAATTGGCTGATTATCTTATACTTCATCATCCATTGCTCGTTTGTTTCTCATTTACCGATATTCTCTGCTCCGTTGCTTCATTCATTCATCTGGCATCCGATATGCCTCTTTGCTTGGCTTGTAGCGAGCATTGGTTTGGCGCGCCAAAGCGTAACCGTTCATAAAGAAACAAAATTCACAGAGCAATACACCTCGCCGCTCCGTACTTTACCTAACCCCACTCCACGCACACGCACACAAGTGAATGGCCCGAGGGGGCCGGCCTGCCTCCCTGGCCCACCCCACCCCTCGCTCTTGCTCACGCTAGGCCAGTGGCCGGCACTTCTGGTTATGGCTAATGCTGAATAACTTTTAATATGAGTACCGGTACTCATGTACCTCTCTCTCACTCCCTCTCTGCAGAAGAACATTTACATATTGATTACACGTATTTTATGTGCGTATCCCTGTTTTCCCCGTTGAGATCTTCTTAAAAAAGACATCGCGAAGAGCTTTCAAATATTTTTTTATCTACTTTTTGTAATTTCTAATGGACAGGGTAAACGAGCTTCGGTGCCTGCGTGCTGGGATTATGTGCATTTTTTTGAATATGTCATGCTCGCTGGCCATAGAGGTTGGATCCATAGCGGTGGTGGGCCACTAGAAGAGCGTAATGCGATACTGGAGCGGGGCAGGGGGCTAGCTAGATGGTCAGCTTCTGCGGTTATCAGAGGTACACAGACATGATTATGGTGTGAGCGCGGTAGCAGCTGTAACGATAAGTGACGTTTTTGTATGGTCATAGACCCCATCGAAAGCGAGACCCTCCCCCAACCCGTTCCATAACCAACCTCACAGAAAACAATGAAAAATCATAAAAGAGAAACAAAAAGAGAAATGCAGAAAACCGCAAAACAAAATACCGAACGACGCGCTTTGGTGGCTCTTGCGGTTTTTTTTCTGTCTCCCTCTCTCTCTCTCCTAAGTTTTGTTGCTCTTCTTTGATAAGCTCCCAAGAAAGAGAAGAAGAGAAGGAGGAATTAGAAAAGAATGTGGAATAAGTAGGGAATAAAAAAGAAAGATGCCAAAGAAGAAGAAGAAGCAAAAGTATCTGCGAGAAAATCCCACAAAGAATGTGTAGAGTGACGGTGGAAAATTAACAAGAGAATGAAAAGTGTAGTTGTCCATTCGAAAGTCAAGGATTTTGCATACCCTTTTCGCTTTTGCTTCCCGCTCTTGCCCATCAAAGCGATGGTCTTGCAGCCCAGGTTGGTCTTGAAAAAAAAAAAAAAAAAATTCATCCC